TCAGTTTTGTGATGAGGTCACCCGTGAGGGGGCCTTTGACACTGATGCGCTTGCTGCTGCCCCTTTGTGCTTCTGCAAGAGGTTCCGAAGCACAGTCTCCATGCGCTTCTGCACATGATTCGAGCAGTCTTCTTTTTCAACACTTATAAAGCCGTACACCTTAGCTTCTTTGACAGCACTGTATGACCGGCTGTCACAATCACAAAACATGGTGGTGTACCTGAGGCCATGAAAGCGAAAGGGAGCGCTGAAATAAAATCATTGCTGCCTCTACTTCCACTAGGCCAGCCTTGCATGAGGTATTCTTCTGGCATAAATGTTTGGCTTTCCATTCAGAGTATTCCGGGCTCTCGTGTTTCGGTCCACATTCGCAGCCGAGGCAAAAATTAGAAAGCACAACATAGTCTAGCACATAACCTGAAAAAACTTCTATCTCAGTGACTATTCCAATGTGAGAGGCGTGTCGTCTTGTGTGCCAGCTTTTATCAAAAAAGTTGGCAATATTTCCGAGGTTGCCGAAATTGAGGTCCTTGTAGAGGCACTTTACCACTGTGGCACACTTAGTCAAATGTTCTGCACAAGCTCTCCTTGCTGCTGGCTAAAGCTTCATTTTTAAGTACTCTCGGTACGTTTTCGTGTGAAGGCCCCGATGTGAAACACCGATAGCAGCAAAGATGTCATTCAGAGCTGTCTGACCATTCCCAGTGCTCTGAACCGCATGTGCCGTGCGAACGTTGATTTCGAATGGGTTGCAGTTACTGCTGCCACCAACCCGTCACGAGCTCCATTTCGAACCAACTTCTCTGAAGTTGCTGCAGTGGAGCTACAGCTTAACGGCTACGCCTACTCGCGCGTGTCGCGTTCCATGGTCAACTGACCACGGCACACTTGGCAAGCAGAATGTTCATTTAGTAAACTGTTCACCATGTCGAGGTCAACCATGGTATACGTCGGGGCCAATGAACTTTTGGTGCCGCGCTCACTCGTGAGAACACATTTTGCGCTCGGTTGGCGAGACCGAGGAAAGTTCAACTGCTTCTTGCTGGGCGCGATGCTCGATTAGTACTCGGTCAGCCGATGTCAAAAATGTCGCATCTATCCTCGCAGCTCAATCGCGCGTACTGCAGGAAGCGGTCGCAGTCGCCGCCACGCTTTTTCCAGCTGCGAGATCTGCTGCAGCAGCATTCTCTGCTGTCTTAATCACAAGCGGCGGCGTTGTTTCCTGGTGCCTTGTTGAAGTATCACAGTAATCAGCTGATTCCGCCGGCACCAAAGTCGTCGTCAAGATCGGTTGTGTTGCAACACCGCTTTGTCGCGGAATCTGTTGCGTTCTTCCGCCGAGATAAGCAGATATCTTCGTCGGCAGTTGCAATGATTTATGGCACTCTGAGCGTGTGTCGCCACTGGTAAAAGTTGTAGCGATCGAATGCTGCCGTTGTGTTGTGTCGGACTGCTGCATCGCGGCGACTACCGGTCTTCTGTCTTGCTCGGCTCTGCCGACGTAGCCCGCACTGGCTGCAATGACTCCTTGGGCTGCAAAGCACGTTTTTTCCGTCGCTTGCCAAATTAGTGAAGTGTGCGGAACTTTCGAGCACGGCTCGGCATCTCGATTTCGATCGCAAAACTACAAAACTTCCGGAATGGCGGTGACAACGCGCGTGTTTGCGACCGCGTGTGCGTAATCACCAGTGTTGTTAGTCCCCACGCTCCAATCACAAGCCGCTGTTCACTCACGTTACTGCTATGGACCAATGATACTGCACGGTATTATCGCTTGTTTTTGCCTGGTAGCGCAGACTGGCTGCAGCACTGAAGGTTCGTTCCTGGCGGGAAAGCGAGCTCAACAGAAGCTCTTTCAAACGAGACTAAGATGGCCGCGATCCGATGAGTGGTTAGCGCGATCCGAGCAATGCAAAAAGGGGCTGTTTTCGGCGATTTCAAAAGCGAGACCAAGTGCTGGGATGAATAAACATGACATTTTTTGGCTCAACGATGCGTCATTTCGAGTTCCTTTTTTGTGGGCAGGTGTGGGATGATAAGAAGATAACGAAAATCACCAAAATAAAAAATCTATTTTTTTGGCATTTTTTTTTGTCACCAAGACCTGTTTCCCCCCTTAAGAGACTTTCGTGGGAGTGTACTGTATGTCCCAAGAGCATTTCAAATTATGTCCACATCATGTGTCATCTAAATTTGAAGAGAGAGAATGAAAGGATAACATGGCACTGGCAGGGACCAAAGCTGGTCAGCTGCCAGCTTTGAATGACATCACGTGCTACACGACGTCAACAGACAAAAAGAGTTTTCCACACTTGCTGTCAGCTACTGGTGGCGGAGACCGATGCTCCCACGTTTAAATACAGGTACATACACCCTACAAGGTAAACGGAGGATGACCACCACTGTGGTAGAACTTCTCTCAGTGGTAGAACTTCGAAAGCGTTATTCGAAATTTGCAGGTCTGGTATCCACCAGCAATACATTATCGTTTTGTCCATTTTCCTTTCTTACCATTTACTATATTACAATTACAACAAATAAAATCCTCTATAGTCATCCCTAATCAGCGAGCTGCAATTCGAATCATGCCGTTCTCTACAGGCTCAAGCCGCACACCGCACTCTCTCTTCATTTTTCTTCTGCCCGTCCAAAGCTCCGCGCACAACTGTCGTTGGATCTTTGCCTTTTTCGTGGCCAAACGATCCATATCATCCCAAAGCCCTTAAATTAACTGTTCTTCATTAGGAGTGTTCTTTTTAAGCATTCTGTGATGCTTCTCTTTGCATATTTTATATGTTAAAAATGAAGGCTCTTATCTTACACTATCTGAAACTATGATTTTTATGTTTGAAGTGTTCACAGCGTAAATTTTGCTTGTGCTAACTTTAAAGATTGTTCCATGATTTCGATTCTCACTTAGACCGGGTGCCCCAACTAACTTACGTCAAAGGTTAGCAAACGTAGATGTAGAGGCAGGCGAGTGAAATCTGCTGCATGTTGCTGACAGCCACCGTGCGCACTACAATTTGTTGTTTTAGTTAGTTATATCAAATTATTTGAATAAATTGCTGAATACAGTTGAGCCCTGCTGAAGTGAATGCCACCTCAACGATATTTCCACTACAGCGAAAAATTCTTGGTTACCCGTCAGCAGTCTATAGGAGTCAATGCATAAATGCTCTCATCAAAATGAACCTTTTTTCTTCTGTCGTTTCACTTCAACGAAATTTGACCATGTACCTCCAGGCTCATATATTTATAGCCATGCATTAAACATAATAAGATTTTCATGCATCTTTGTAACATGGAAATATGTGAACGAATTCTAATACACGCGTTGGCACCACCACCAGAAACTGCCCCTGCTTACCAAGCCCAGAGGCCGCCTCTGCTAGATAGCGATGGCAACGAGACTGTTCTGCTTTAGCCACTGACTTGCTTCCCAGCCACAGACGATCTGAAGCTAGAGATGGCTCAAGCTCAGTTGTTTCGATTGCTCGCTCAGTTGGTTTCCTTCATGCAGCTGCTCTGGGTGCGATCGTGGAACGACTGCCTTTTCTGATGCCAATGCTTTTGGTTCTGTTCAGGCTTTGACAGTGTGGTAACCAATCAGAACGGCTGTTCATCCACATTATCACAAAGCCAGCCAGCCGGTAGTGTTGGATGCTAAGAATAGCATAGAATAAGGCAAAAGTCACCGCTCCACGATATCATGCCTCTATCTCAGCATTGTCGGCTACAGTTTGACAACGGACACTGGTGTTAGCGTGTTAGTGCAACTGTTAGGTTCGCTTACGAAAGCCGTTGTGGCCGTTGTTTCAGCATGCTTTTCACCATGGTGTCACTCAGCATGGGTGAGAATTGCGTCGTGATATTGCTGGGAAAGAAAAGGAAGCGGTCTACACTTTTCGAATTTTGGAATCAAAGGTTTCTTTGTTTTGCTAGCTCAGATCAGCTATACTTTTTCAATTTCACTACAATAAAAATTCCGCTTCAACGGAACTTTTTCCCGCGTTGCGTCACTTTCGTTGTAGCGGGGTTCGACTGTATTGACTTTGACCAAGAGATCGGATTTGCAAAGTTCCAGAAAGTCGCCAGAAACTCCCACTGCATCATTTGCAATAATGAAAGTCTCATGCGTAAGATTTATTTCCAAGCTGCAAAGAAGGCCTGTTTAACACAAAAAAAGAAAAAAAAAACCCACGTGACTATCCTATACATAAGCTCCGATCCTGCTCTTCTCAACCGTACTTTGAGCAAATGGAATCAGCTGCGGTCACGACTCGCCAGCTCCATTTTAGTGGTAGGCCGATAAGTTGGCAAGAGTTTCTTGACCTGCAATCATGTGTGCCAACTGGTTGATGCCCACGTGGCAGTGCATTACTGTGCCTTATAATACATTATTGTTTAAGGAAGAACTGTGCTATCCAAGGGTACCAAGGGTTATTGACAGAGGAAATATTCTACACAGGTTTTCAGTTTTGAATGGACTTGATGCTTTATCTTGTTGGCAGAATAGCTTGGGCGTCATCATTTGCAGAAGTGAAATTAGTGCTTCTGTCCGTGAAATTCCCTTTGTCTCTTGTTAAGGAGTTTCTTGGGCTACAATTATTTCAAACAGCGCAGAAACAGGACACAGATGAGACAACAGAAAGCAGGCGCTGCATCCCGTTTCTGTGCTGCTTGAAATAGCTGTGTACATACCGACAAGATAAATTAGACGCCATTTTGAAGCTCTTGGGCTAACAAAAAGTAGTTTCTTGTGAGTATTTTATACAATTTCACGGCCTCTTGTTAGCATTACTTCTATTAAGCCCTGTAATCTCTGCTCATACAATGCCTCTCGGGGTTCAGTAGGATTGTTAAATTAGAAACGAATACATAATGGTGTCTCACAGTTCGCCCCAAAGGGGTTAAAACACGGACAGATGTCACCCTAGCTTCTGACAAAAGTTTTTAAAGACACAAAAACGTGCCACAGAGAAAGCAGTAAAGCTCACTTGTGCGTGAATGCCTTGTCACAGATTTCACACTTGTGGGGCTTGCCAACCCGGTGGACCAACTGGTGAGCCCGCAGCTTGTCAATGCGCGGGAACGTGCAGCAGCATTGCTCGCACTTCAGTGGCCGCTTGGGTCCTCCACGGTGCACCTTGACATGCACTGCTAGCCGCTCAGCTGTCGGGAACACTCGCTCGCAGCAAGGGCACGGGTGCTCTTCCACACAGGCGCTAGGGGCCTGTTGCTCCATGAGCAAACCTGCGAAAGAGAATGGCAGAATGTGTCAAACAAAAGACGCTGAGTTCTTCGAACACTGGCTCGAAAAACGTTTCTTGGCCAATTGCTGTTGGTGCAGGTGACAAAGCTGTCCAACTTTTTAGGAAGTGAAAGCTCAAGGGCAGAGGGACAGATGAAGTTAGTAGGCACTATGCGTCTAAACTGGTCGTACAAATTGAACAGTGCAAATGCTGGCTGCTGGTGCTTCAGCTAAGACAAGAATGAGCTGTACATAGTTCAGAAGATACCATAATACATAGATTATGACACAAACAAGTAAAATGTAGGATGCAAATACGTATATAATGGCTGTGTGTGTGCATGTGTATTTGCACACATACACATGCACACACATACACACAGATAGGAATGTCTGAGGTGTGCCTGAGCACACACACTCAGACTATACCAGCAGCTAAGAACCAAGCCTTTGCTGTGTTGGCCAAGGCGATTTCATGGTTCATGCTCAGTAAGTTCTTGTGTTAAAGCTGCCTCGCTTGAATGGCTCTTATTAAGGCACCGTGCCAAAGCTCTTAAGAAAAACAGGCCTGCTGCATTTGGGGGAGGTGCTGGGGCGTGATCCAATTTATTGTTGTGAAGCTCGGCAGCTGTATTCTAATACAATTAAACCGCTTTATAAGAGACACTGATGGAACAAACAAATGGGTATAAGAGACACCAGTGTGCCGACACTGAAATGGGTGTTTATAAGAAAGCACATATGCGGTACTTTGCTTATAAGAGACATCTCATAAAGACAAGAATGGCTCCCCAGCGCATGTCGGTTGTAAAGAGGTTTAACTATCTATCAAAACAGTGACAAAAGGCACGAGCTCGTCGGAAGCTGCAACGAACCCGCATTCTGATGTGGTAATTCAATGAGATCCTCTAATATTCTACGGCATGAACAATCACACTGTGAAATACAGGCTGGTAGAGTATGAGCATGTAGCGCATTTAACAGACTGTGTGCAAGGTATTCGAATAACTGACTGTGTGCGCTAGCAGATCTTAAGTGATCTACATGGACCTCCTGTGGCCCAAAAACGATGCAGCAAATTTCACTGTTTAGCTGCCTTTCACAGCAACCAAAATTTGTTCTGTGTTAAACTAATTGAGCCTCAATGTTGGCTAACCCTGCCTCCATATAAGAGCTAATTAGAACAATGAGGTTTTCACAAGCTACGCTACTAGTGTAGCTTGAGAATGTGTTTACGAAGTTATGCGTGTAAACGGACTAATGCTTCTATGGCAGAAGTTGACAAACTAAGGCGCAATATAGAAGGCATGAAGAATGATACCTGTTCTGTCCAATTAAAATGCGCACAGATCGTTTTGGCGTCTCTAGCTCTAGTTAAGAGGAGCGTGTTCGATGTGAATAAAGATTCATTCTTCTTGGCACCAGACCAGTGTTCAGACACTCCTGTATTTACTGTGTCGGAATGAAGCCTTCCAGGACGTTTTCGTCTGGTCGGCTTGAACCGCACGCCGGCTTGAATTCGTGCCCTGGTTGGATAGAACAACCGCATATATCATTACCCAAAGTAAACGCTGCCACACTTGGTGTTGCCTCAGGAACATCTTCATCCTCGTCAACGTCATCATGACTTTGCACGTTCCATTAATCTTGAAACACCCCTAGCGTAGAGCCCTCCTTGAAGCTCCTAGTTAAAATTAGATTGTTTCCTTCTGAAAATGGCTCGGTGTCCGAGAGTTAGTAGATAGTCAAGTCCTCACAAGCTCCTGCACCTTGCGGTTGAGGGCGGTGGTTGATAGCCGCACTAGTCCCTTGTTTCTGCAAGTGGTCAACATGGGTGAACCACACGGGGTCTCTGATTTTCCACAAGATATGTAGATAGGCTGACTACTTGCTCGATAATTCCTTCCTGTTAAGATTCTACTTTACCTCTCACCGTCTTCACATACACTTTGTCACTGACTGAGAAGTACTCGGCCGACCCTCTTTAATTGTTGCGTCACTCAGCCTACCTTTTCTGATGCTGCAACATGTTATCCACGTAACTAGGCTTTAGTAGAGACAACTTTCACCGGACGAAACCGGTCGAATACTTCAAGAAGAGCTCAGCTGGCTTCTTTGCTCCAACTGAACTTGGTGTCTATCTGCGTAATAACAAGAAATGACAGAGATACTCTTGCATAGTACACAGTAATCCTGAAACGTCGTCAGCCAGTGCTTGCTTCAGAGGTGCTGTTTTTTGATGGTACTAACAAGCTTTTCTACAGCTCCGTTGGATGCGGCATGGTGTGGAGGCTCCTCTCATGCTTAATTTTGCGTTGTCGCAGGAACTCTTGACACTTGTCTGAGGTAAACTGAAGAGCATTATCAGTCACCAATTCTTCTGGGTAGCCACATGCTGCAAAGAGGTTGTTTAAACAGTGCATTATTTTTGCACTAGTTGTCGTAGGCAGGAAGACAACTTCGATCAATTGTGAATAGCGACGACCTCAGCAGCAGATTACAGCCATTTCTTGTGGCATAGTTGACATGAACACGTTACCAAACTCTTGTAGGATAAGGTCAGGGTTGCAATGGTCCAGCTGTTTAGGTTCAGAGCACACTTTGACAAATGTGACAGTTTCGTACTGTATCTTCAATGTCAATGTCCAGGAAAGCCATCAAACATAGGATCGAGCTAGCATCTCCATCCGTGTCATAAACGGGTGTTCGTCGTGCAGTAGGGACAGAACATCAGGTTGCAAGCTCTTGGGCACCATGACCGGATCACCCCACATATGGTAGTACTGTTTAATCGACCGTTCATCTCCGCACCTCCAAAATGCTTGCATTTCACTAGGGTACTTGGCTGACCATCCTGTGAGCATATATTTGACTACCACACTTAAAACAAGGTCACTCATCGTTTCATTTGCTGCGTCACAGTGAGTGGAGTGGCATCCAAAACGGCCAAGCACTCAGGTCTGTTGTCATGAGTTTCCACCAACAGCAGCAATCTTAATAAGGCATTAGCTACTTGCATGTTATTTCCACTGTATAGTTCAGATTGTATTGGTACGCGGTGAGCATCATGGCCCCACCTTAAATTTTCGATGCTGCAAGCAGCGGTACTGGTTTATCTTATCCGAGCAGCGCTAGAAGGCTAACGATCCGTTCAAGGTTCAAGCACCAGCCAAACAAGTACCAGTGAAAACGTCGCAAGCCAAAAATGATGAGGAGAGCTTCTTTTTCCCTTTGTGCGTAATAGCGTTCACTCCTTGTGAATGTCCGAGAGGCAAATGCTACTGGTCTCTTGGTGCCATCGGGCATTTCGTGAAAAATCACTGCTCCAAGACCGTGGGCTGACGAATCACAGCCGAGCCCCATCTTCCTGATGTCGTAAAATGTGAGGATTTCACTGTCCCAGATTATAGTCTTAGTAGCTTCCAATGCTTGCTTGCGTTCTTTTGCCCAGCGCCACTTCTATTTTTTTTCTTAAACAGCTCATGCCGAGGTGCAGCCACTATGGCTATGTCGGCCAAACACTTCCTGTAGAAATTGAGAAGCCTCAATGTGTTCTCAATTCTGTAAGGTTCCTCGGCTCCGGAGCATCTTGAGTTGCCTTGATCTTGGTCAATATCGGGTAGAGTCCATCTCCGGAGACCTTGTGTCCTAAGTAAGTGATCGATTCGTGAAGAAATTGGCATTTCACCTTTCTAACAGTGAGGTTGATGAAGTGACCCCCTTGGCCACTGTGTTGCAGCAATTATCTGTGCTGCTTTGAGTGACAATGACATTTTCTATGTAGCACCCCACTTGGGGGATCCATTCTAGCACCTTATCCACCGTTGCTCCAAATATAGTGGGTGCACTTGCAATTCAAAATAATAGTGATTAGAACTCAAACAATCCAAGATGTGTATTCAGTCAGCAGCGGTTTTGCATTCTCTTTAAGTGGCACTAGTTGGTATGTGGAGGATAAGTATAACACATGAAACACTTTGCCACATGAAAGCATCGAGTACAAATCTTCCGCAAGAGGAAGTGGGTAGGAACCTGTTCCGCAAGAGGAAGTGGGTACCTACTTTCGCAAGAGGAAGTGGGTAGGAACACAGCGAATCATCTCGCTGTGCTCGTTGTATTCTACCTTGACTATACACCGCTTCAATGCAAGCTGGCGTAGGGTTTGAGCCGACCAGACGAAGGCGTTCAAGGTTCAGACCGACGAAGTAGAAACAGCGGCATCTGAATACGCGTGAGGTACCAGGAAGAACAAATATTTACACACATTGTAACGCGCGCCTTCTAGTTCGTGCTAGAGATTCCATAGCAACGCACCCTGCATTTCACCTGGACAGAAAACTACCTTCCATGTGCTGGTAGCCAAAAGCCCTTCGAATGTAACCTAATTGACCATAGAAGTGTGGCAGTTTGGGCTAGTTGGTACGACATGATGATAGTTATTGCGCGAGAACGGAACGACAACAAACAGCAAGAAGGACACGAACGCTCATGTCCTTCTTGTCTCTTTGTTGTCGTTCTCTTCTCGCGCCATAACTATCGTCTAATTGAGCAATGCCAAAGTTTTAATTATCTGCGCTAACTGAACATTTCTGCCCTCCATATCATTGTGAAAACAGCATACTTCTTAAACTTGAAGACAAAAGGAGTGCCACTGAACAAACCACAGTGCTGCCATTATTCAGCAGGGAATCTACGATGGAGCGACTCATCAGCTCTTTCAGTACTTGTTATCAAAACACCCCCTGCAATGGACTTCATTGAGTCATTCTGAACAAGTTGCTGAAGTGCTCCCATCTTAAAGGACCAGAAAATGTTTTTTTTTCAAGTTTTGTCAGCGTTAAGGCTAAAGCATCATCAAACCATTCGTACCCCAAATTTATCGACATGTCGTGTACCAAGGCCACTATGGACAATTATATCACACCCTCCTTTTCAGCTCCGTCTTGCCTCAACTCAAGAGACACGCTGGAGATTGCAGAGCTCACATGAGCATACTCAACAA